GTCCGTCATGTCCACATCTTCCGCTGTGTCAATCCACGCATCCAAGGCTTCATCGTCAAGCACTAAATGCAAGTGCTGTGACTTCTCTTCAGACGTCCACTTCTTCATGATACTCAGATGTTCGAACTGCTGTATCCACCGCAGCCACTCTTGAGCCGAGCCTCCACTAAAACGCGGAATACTGATCTTGATAAACTCACGTTCGCGACCCGTAGTCTTCTTTCGTGTCGTAACCTGGAACGTTACTGTTCTGGACACATCCGCACCTTCTTCACTCATTGTTACTTTCTTGCCTTCCTTGCCTCCACAAGGTTTGAGATATCTCAAAGTGACAACCCTTGGCTCGCAGAGGGGCTCTCAGCAAGGTGTTAGCTGTAGGTCGTGGCTTGCAGAGGACCTGAGCCTTATTTGGCAAAAGAAGAAGTAAGTTATATTAAGTATGTATGCTGTGTGGCTGCCCACAACAACACTTCAAGCTGAGAAAGGAAAACTAGAAATTTGAGTCTCACGTCGTATGCGTCAACTGGTCATACCACAACTGGAGCGAACCTCTTGTTAAGCGTCTTCGTCGTGTCTTGAGCACTTGCAAGCCCGTTCGAGGTTAAGGCTGCGTGTCAGCTTCCAACCAGCGAACGCCACGTCGGGTCGACAGGGAGGCCACGTGCTCGCAGGCATGGCGGCGGCCGCCATGGCGTCCTCCCGGGTGAGCTCGGGTAACAATGGCTCGTCGTCGCCGTCACCGTCACCAGCGCCTGGATCTCGCCCATCGGCTGTACCGAGACTTGCTGCAGTCGTTCGTGGTGTGGCTCCTAGGAAGTCGGTGATATCGAGACTCACGCAGTTCTCCAAACCCGTTTCGGTGGTTCCTTTCGCCCCTGAACGCCTCAGTATCACGCAAACAGCATTGACACCTGAAATGATGAAAAGCATCGCGGAGAAAGGGGTGCGAACCATTTCTTTAATTGCGGTATCGTTTTTCTTTTTTATCCTAATTAATAACTTTCCCACTTAGCAACAACGTGAACGCGCGTCATCTCGAAAAGAAGATTCGGTGACGACGCTGTTTGCAGCTCTACGAATGCGACGAGCGCTGCATCGAGTACAAGCTGGACACGAACAGATGGGACCTCGCATTCTAATCGACGAAACCAAAGCGAACCTCGAAAGACACCTCAAAGTGCTCTCGCGATATAAAATTCGACAAGTGGACACCGATGCCGATGAGAGACAACAATTGCGGAATCTCCCGCCTTTGATGGTGAACCCTCACAGCTCCGTGTTCAAGCTGTGGCAGCTGGTGACGTTAGTTATCATCATTTACCAGAGTATCATGCTGCCATTTGCACTCGCTTTCGGCTCCAACGACACGACCGTAGTCGATATCTTAATGAGCAGCATCTTTGCACTGGATATCGCGGTGGCATTCAACACACCTTTCGCAGAGGACGCTGACGAGATGGTGTATACCACCGATCGATGGCTCATTGCATCCAACTATGTACGAGGATGGTGCGTTCCTATTATTTTATACGCAGATTTTACATTTTTTCTAATATCAAATTGTACTTGCTGTAGGTTTTTCTTTGACTTACTGGCGTGTATGCCTTTCGATTATGTGCTGTTACTGGTCAACAATTCCAAGAGCAATCTCAGTGTACTTGGACTACTAAAGGCACTACGCGTGCCTCGATTACTGCGACTAGTGCGCATACTGCGTGTAGCCAAATTGTTCAAAATGCGACCGGAGCTGCGACGATGGCTACAGTATTCACGACACGCCAACCTCCTACGACTGGTTCGTCTTGTGGTGTCTTTCCTTGTCATTAATCACTACGTGGCGTGTTTCTGGCACGGAATGGTCATGTCGGAGCGAACTCGCGCTTCGGACTCGAGCGTCGATGTGCGGCACTTGTACGTGGTCGCGTTTTACCAGTCCTTACTCGTCGTTATGGGGCAAAACATCGCTGTGTACGAAGATACCGAGATTATCTTCTGTGTTCTTGTCATGGTCGTGGGGGCCGTGCTTATGGCTGTTGTTTTCGGAAATGTAGCCATCCTCATTGCCAATTACTACGAGTCCCAGAGCTCGCACCAGAAGAAGATGGAGTGGCTTTTTGCGAGTATGAACCGAATGAAGCTGCCCTACGATCTACAGAACCGCATCAACGCGTATTATCAGGCCATGTGGGAGCGTCACGGCACTTTAGATGGCGCGGTGACGGCATTTATACCGGAACTATCACGAAATTTAGCGTGTGAAGTCGAGTTATTTCTTCGAATGGATATGATCAACCGAGCGCCAATTTTCCAGAATTGCAGCGCCAAAGTCGTCCAGGAACTCGTCATGGAGCTGGAGCTGCAGGTTTTCATGCCTGGTGATTACATTGTTGTGCGTGGGGAAGTAGGGAACGACATGTACTTTGTTCAGAATGGGATCTGTGAGGTTACGAAGGAAGTGGACGTAGCTCCCGTGCCACTACCTCGAAACCCTTCTCGTCTGTCTCAAGCGTCTCAAGTTGCACAAGCAGTGCTGCACCGTAAAGGATCTCAATCACCCAGACAAAGTAACGCATCGCAACTACCACAGACCTCCATGGCAATTAAAACCAAGGAAATTATACTGAAAGTGCTAGGTCAGGGCGACTACTTTGGAGAGATCGCATTGCTTATGAACTGCAAGAGAACGGCAAACGTTCGAGCTCAAGTGTTTTCAGAGCTCTGTACGCTTACACGAGAGGTTTTCGAGAGTATTTCGCAGCGGTATCTTGAGGATCGAAGTATTATCGAGAAGTTTATCATGGACAAGTATGACCCGAGTATGCTGCAGGCTGCAATGAAGCAGTCTCAGGAAGTTAGTATGCGCAGCTCCGGCCCGGCAGCTACAGTAGCTGCCGCTCCGAGAACGACAAATTCATCCCCCAAGTCGAATAACTCAAGTCCTGCTGGCGCCAGCCACGCGATGAGCTTTGGAGAAGCGACATCGCGTGGAGAAATGGCTACAGCAAAGATTACAGGTCTGCTCACCAAGGTACTGCAGCGAATCGACCACCTTGAGGAGCAGCTTGGAAAAGAAGCAGAAGCTCGACGGGAAAGCGAAACGAGACTGCGAATTACTCTGAACGAAGCTGCCCGACGTCTCTCTACGTCGTCTCGTTCATCTGCCTCCAGTGTCTTAGATCCAATGCCACTGAAGCATTCGGAGGCGCTCAGACGCCGCTCAATAAAAGCAGTAAGAAGATGAACCAGGTCGGCGTTTGTCCCGCGCCTTTTTGAGACTTTGCAGAGCCTCCGGGCAGCGCTTGGAACCCAAAAGGCGCGGCCCCGAAATTCTCCAGCGACCATCGATAACCAACGCTTTCATGGGAGTCCAAGTGACACTCTCCTGCTGCAAAAGATAAACAAACGCCCGGCCCTCGCTTAAACGCGCTAAGGAGCGGGCGCAATACGAAACCCGAAAGCTTGGGGATCGGCATGAGGCTACGGAAAGGATCTCGCTTAGAGCTAACGAGGTACACACCGGGTCTTGGTGTAGGTGTTGGCGCTTCGGGAGTCGGAAGAACCTTTAGAGCAGGGTCGAGTTCTTCGTCAAGCTCTCGCCGTTCGAGTTCTTGCAGCACGACGCGAGCAAACGACTCGTGCATTGACCCGAATCTGCTGACATCAGAGCCAGAGCCGAGATCGTATAGGGAAAGTGGACTGGAGGACGAAAACACCGACCAGTTCCCGTCCGATATTCTAGACGATCTGGCAAGATCACTAGATCCACAACAACGAAGTGATAACACGTAAAACATATTATTCCAGAGCCTGTTCGCAATTGAATCAAGTATTTTCTATGGTACTTGGTATAACTTCTGAGCTCGGATTGACATGTGAAAGCTGTAAAATACCTACGCATGGACGTAAGGCACCGCTTTTGCTGCGAAGAGCTCCAACATTTTTAAACGTGGTAAGACTCAGGTCGTAACAAACGCTCAACATTTAGGCTTTCCGCGCTCTTCAGACTAGTTCTCACTCTCGAATTGGGGCAGCCAACAGCTAAGATCGATCGTCGGAAATAGAATGATGCGAATCCCAGACCTGACGGTCGAGCCGACACCTCCTGCCCCACCCGAGATCGACGGCTATCTCAAGAAACTAAAGCGTAAGACGAGAAGTCTCGCTGGCAACTGGAACAAACGCTGGTCTTCGTGGACCCGAGACGTCGAGAATTTGGCTACTCGGACAACAGAACGAGCGCACCGCGAAGTACGGGAAGCTTGAATAACGATATCCTTTCTTCAATTTCTTGCTAATGATTGTTTGCTTTTGTTTCTCAAGGCTCGATCTTCCTCGATGATATCACAGCAGTGGTGCAGTTTGATGACACGCACTTCCAGGTCGAGAGTCGTACGCGCAACTTCTTCCTCTGCGGAGACAGCAAGGCGAGTACAGCATGCTGGGTGACGAGTCTGGAAGGCTACCGCAAGAAGCTGATTGAGTACGAGAAGGATAAGATCGCTCATGCTGCAGCAACAGCTACTGTCAGTGCAAAAGCGTCTGCTACTGCAGCTAGAGTTTGCAGCCCACAACAATCTCCGCTGCCTGCAGCATCAAGAGAGGATCGAAAAGTTGCCAATAAAAAGAAGAGTCGAGACAAACCGGACGACGATGATCATCCAACGCACGATTCGTTCAGCTCCTCGTCTTCTTCATCCATGAGCTCGACAACTTCTCCAAGGTCCAAGCGAGAGAAAGCAGATTATTCTCGGTCAGACCGCGTGCTTCAGAGCGAACAGAGATCTGCCTCCCCACTGGCCAAAAACAGCAGAAGCAAGAACCGATCTCCACCTCCATCTCCGACTGGAGAGAAACGGACTCGTGATCGACCCCGTGATCGAGAGCGCGGCCGTGATCGGGACAGAGACCGAAAGTTTGAGCGTGAACACACGCGCGAGCCAAGCAACGATCGCGATCGGAGCAGGGACCGAGAGCGATCAACTAATGGTGATGGTGACTGAAGTCGGTGACAGGAAATGCTCCCGGCCCCTAGTGGCAGGGGGTCTGTCATGCAGGCGTGGGTGGATGACTTTTAGTGGTTACAACGCGAGATTCTGCACCAATTCATTTGCCGTCAATACAAACTTATGCTATCTTCTTGATGTTTACTGCAGCTATCATTTAAGCAAGCTCACCAAGATGCGACTAATGCATGAATGCATCTTTCTTAAACATAATGCACCTCCAAACGTTCGCTGATAACTGAGCTGGAAAGTCTGGAAAGCAGCTCCGTGCTCTCCAAACTTTCCAGCTCAGTTCTCAGTGAGTAGAGACAAAATGCCGTAGGATAAATACAATCGATTAGCTTGGTCGTTGGTGATTACCGGTAATCACATTAGTTTGAAGAAGAGCGCTCTTTAAAAAGCTACTAGTGTAGTTTACTTATTTCTTGAAGCATTTTTAGTGAGCAGTTCGAGTATTGTGCCTTTCACGTTTTTTTGGCTAATCGGGCTCCAAAATGTGTCTCCTTCAAAAGGAGGGCTAGGTTTTGATCTAGCAGCTGTTACACCGTTCACCCTACTGTAATTAGTCGTGTGACTTAACCCCTTAGTTCCCGTATGTTTAGCCGCTAAACATAAGAGGTGTATAGCTTCTTTCAGTTTTTTTCGGCATCTATGTTATGTTTAGCGGCTAAACATAAGAGGAAAAACTGACTTGGAGCTTGTATTGAGCAGATCGCAAGAGAGCGCAGGAAAAGCTCAATACCTGTAGTCAAAGAAAAAAGTGGGAGCCTAAAAAGGCCGATGGCCCAAGCATAAGGGAAGACTGGACCGCATACTTGATTAGAACGAGATAAAGAGAGGCGGTGTCACCCACCACCAACGGGTGGCCGACAGTCAATCATACTTCAAAACGACCGCGGGGGCAGCAGACCAGAATGGTGGCGACGTCTGGCAAGATGCCACGACGGACGCTGACAGCGGAAGAGACCCGGTTGTGCAAGGCAACCCTCAGTGACCGCCACAAGCGTCGCCTTCGTCGAGACGACGAGAGGCAGTCAGCAGCAGAGCCAAAGCATGGCGCTGAGGGGCGTGCGTTGAAGAAGCAGTCTACGAAGAGGGCGGTGAAACTTACGACGACAGCCATGGAGATAGCAGAGTCTAGAGGTCCACATATTGAGCCGGCAGCACCCAAAGAGACAGAAGCAACAGCGAGTACGGACGAAGCTAAAGAGGTAATACCTGTTGCAGAAAATGAGGAAGATTCTGTGGAACCAGAGGTGGAGGAAGTTGTAGCAGACGTGGTGATGGCTGTGGCTTCAACTGTGGCTTCAAGTGCGCTTCTAACGCCTGTGCGAGATGCTCAAGGCGCTGTGGAGACCTTGCGCCCCCCTCGGACGAACAAGCAGGCGCCGGTTACGCAAAGATCCCCGAAACGACGCCGCCGCGTCCTACAAGACAGTCCAGAACGCGAAGCTCAAGCTGAAGGCACCATAAGTGACACCACAGACACCGGTGCTGCGTCAGCTGCCCCGCATCTCCCTGTCGCCTGCGTAGTCGACGGTGATCCTAACATCATGGCGGCTGGTGCACGTGAGTGCACTGGCCTCGGATCAGAAGAGGAATCTGGTCCTGATTCAGACGATGACGACGCGGACAGTGAGTGGGAAGGAGATTGGGAGCTTGGAGAACTCTCTGATGAGGAGTTAGCCGATTGCGTTGGAACTGAACTACCGGACACGTTCTGCAAGTCGGTGGCGATGAATGCGGCGCGTTTGGCGGAGATGAAACATTCTGGCTGGGAGTATGGTAAGTTATGTTGAACGCTATCCAACATACGCAACTATTATTTCGTCGTTGTCTAACATAATGTTAACATTATCTAACTCACTTATGGTGTGCAATTTGTAGACCAGTCCAAATTTGGAGACACCCTCCCCTACGTATGAAGACCTTTACGACGGGCCTTATGGACCATCTGAGAGCGTCCTTGGAGTGGCTGAAGACCCACTGGCGCTGTTCTTCTACTACCTACCGCCAAAATTGTGGAGACAGATTGCCGTCGAGAGCAATCGCTACCACACGCAGTCGATACCGGGTCGTGCGCAGGCGATTCAAGCGAAGCAGCGTCGTGGTGGTGGAGAAGTAGAGAACCTCGCAGATATTCGTCGGCGACTAGCACGTGTGAAGCCGATAGAACCGTGGGAGGTTTTGCGCGTCATCGCGCTTCTCATTGCAAGGATGCTGTCTCCAGTGCGAAAGGGGATTGCTGCTCACTGGGAGTTGACACCGGCTGGTGCGTTGCCAACGCCACGCTTCGGCAAGTACATGTCCCGCAACCGGGTTCTCCCACATTAAATGGGATACTTGCACTTCTCCAACAACAAGTCGCCTCAAGCCTAGCCCGGATCGTGTATGGAAGATTCGGCCGGTTATCGAGGTTTACAGCGTACATTTGCGCGCGGCTACAAGATTCCCTCCTGTCATTAGCTTTGACGAAGCTACGCTGCCTTCAAGATCCCGCTACAATCCTACCAGACAGTTCAACAAGGACAAACCGCACAAGTGGGGGACCAAGGTGTTCGTGGCAGCGTGTGCAGATACAGCTTATTGCATGAGGTGCGTTCAAGGTGGCAAGCTAATGCTTGCCACCTTTTTTTTGGTCTAAGTGCTTATGTTGGACGGGCAAATATCCACATTGTGGAGAATTTCCTAATCCAACATATTTATTACTTTTACTAATATCGTGTGCGTTTGTGCGACTGTTCAGATTCGAGGTGTACTGTGGTGCTAAGAGTAATCTCCGGACTCCGATTCCTGCTGATAATAATTGCGGCGAGGCTGCCGTACTAAGGAACATGAACGCGCTGTGCCCGCCATCACCGACCTCCCCGTGGCGTTTGGTAATCACAGACCGGTTTTACACGTCGGAGAAGCTGGGCGTTGGAGCTGTTGCAGCGACGGATGTACATTACGGGTACGATCCATACGCGTATGGCAGGGTACGCGAAGGATGTGGAAGACTGGACAAGTCTTACAGAACCGTGAGATGGTGTGGAGAGAGCTAGTACCACCACAGGGGGACAATCAAGCTGGGCTGGAAATAAGGTTTTTTCCGCAGATAAACCGCAGCAAATGTGATGGACCGCAATCTCGTCCACATGCTGAGGCAGGTGGTGGCAGCAGAGAAACAGTCAGTGGTCAGTAAGTAAGCGCTGTGGTGTTATATATATGTATCATTGCGTCCTTATTGGGCGTTTTTATTGTAAGTGCGGGCCGATCCAAGGCCAGATGAAAAGAGCTACCGGCACCGGAGGCTTGGGTCCGTGACTATCACCGATACATGGGAGGTGTTGATGTGCACGACCAGCTCCGGATGCGACGCTACAGCGAGCAGGTTTCGTACAAATCCTAAAAGTACTACCAGACCTTGTTTCTCGGATTGCTGGACATGGCGTTGGTGAACGCCTTTATTGGGTAGCGGCCCCTCCAGCGTGGCAATGGGCGCCAATCCCCGAAGCGTTCCGCATTCTTCGAGACACTCATGGAACACCTACTTGCTGTTGATGACTACTCTTTCGCTGAGATTGAGGTAAGTTGCTATGATGGGTTTGGCAACATGAATGCATTTACTAATATGTGTTATGTTGGTTATGTTTCCTATTCTAGAAATGCACCTCCGCTGAGGAGCGTACAGCCGCTTCACCTGCACGAGAAGCGGCCCCAAGACTGCAGTAGCAGCGACGAGGCTCAGACCGCATTGATGATGGACACGAACTGGCGGCAGAAACCAGACAAGGCCCGACACTGGAGACCTGAAAGAAGCGTCGCCACAGAACCTGCAAAGTGTGTGCTATCTACGACGTCGTGCCGCGGAAGTATACGCAGTATTACTGTTCCAGAATGATCTGGCAGGGCCAAAAAGGACGTACGGGCTGGTTCATGCTTGATACTAACACGGGGATAAGCGCTGACTGTAGGTTGTTGCCGCAGGGAAGTACTTCTGCACGGTGGCTAGGGAGGGAAGGGGAGCGCACGTGCTGTTCCAATATGGCACCTCCAACTGGAAAGAACGGGACTGACATCCCGATCCGCTTGCTACGCGACCACAAGATACGCGACCGAGCGCCAGTGGAGCGTTTCAGGCAAGAAGCGACACCGCCGACGTGATGCGAGCGGCAGTGAGGCGTGCGCGAGTGAAGTAGCAGCGGGTGGGTCCGACGCTGACGCATCCGGCGATGCCGATGACCAGGCCCCGAACAAAGACGCTGCTGCAGAGGAAGAGCAATCGTAGTGTGCGCCGTTTGCGTGTGCAATCAAATGAATAGTGGTTACATTGATTTGCTTCTATTGGCTATTTCTTCTTTACTTGACGTGTGCAATGTTACACAGACAATGATCTCAATAAACAGGCCATTTACAATGTTGCATCAGTCATCTTATGTCAGCAGTACAACTGAGAGAATTCCCAACATGAAACAGAAATATGTTTGTATGTGCTGCGTTTTTTATCCATTTAGCAAACCCTGCCACTATCAATTGCATAGCTGGACGAAATTCGGGGCCATACAAATTCCTATATTAAACTATGTTGGAGCTCCAACATAAGATCAAAATATACCCCTGACTTTTCGGCCGGGAACTAAGGGGTTAAATACCAGGAAGTCATGCATCGTACTTATACGAAAGTAAACTGTGCATACACCTTAATTAGTCATACACCACAATTAAACATACACCAAGATTAGGCATGCTGACAACCGCAGCCATGCATTCTGTTACTGTACTTTTCATTCGCGACCTCCAAGTGTTTTCTCACTTTAAAACAGGCATGGTAGAAGAAGTGCCGCGCAAGCTTCAGCAGGTCGTTCCTCTCTGCGATCGTGTACGGTGCACCGACTGGATGGAGCTGGATCAAGCTCTCCGAGGTTCTAAAGGTCTCTATATTAGAACTATCGACTTCTTTCCTTCGCTGTTTCGCTCCTCAGATAGAAGGGTGAACATGAACAAGGCTCGCGACTGGTGGAAGCAGCGTGTTGACACAGCTACAAGCCTAGAGGACCCTAAGCAGCTCAAGTATGCGAGTTGGAAGACAACGTATCCGACATCAACTCGTCGTAAAAGCTCTGGATGGGTAGGGGCAGCAAATTAGCGGAGCAACTGGATGTGGGCTGTACCTAATGTTACTGACAGAGTTTCAAAGACTACGGCGAGCTGGTGTCAAGCTCTCGAACCAGCTTGTCGCTGAAATGGGCGTCGTCCTCATTGAGGATAGTGAGCACCCACGCTTCAACTCTCGCTTTAGTGTCAAGAACAAGCCATTAACGAGTATTCTGACTCCTCGTCGCGTTCAAGACTTCTTGGAGCGCTACAACATCGTCTACAGGAGACACAAGGGCAAGAAGCAGGTCAGCGTTGAGAAACAGGCTCAGAGCGAAGCACATGGGTGAGCTTAAGCGCCAGTTTGAAGAAGGAACGCTTTACCCTGATCAGCAGTACAACATAGACGAGAGCCACTTCGTTATTGACCTTGACGATGGCAAGACGCTGGACTTCGTTGGATAACAGTCCGTCAAATACCGCAGCGTCGTGTCAGGTATGTAATATGGGATCTACGCAGTGATGATATGAATTAACTGTGTTGCTTATGTTATAGGTCGTGAGGGCATCACAATGTGTGTTCTTTTGAAAGGGGGTAGCGATGCACGCATCCTGTGTCCGATGCTGATATTCAAGAACAAGAACTCTAGCTACCCTATTCAACATCTTGCCTAGGCGACGCCTGGTGTGTGCTATAGGACTTCGCCGAGTGCGTTCATCAATGGACGCTTAATGTGTCAATGGCTGCGCGACCCAAGGTGCTGGGGACCGGGTGGACCGTTCGCGTCTGGACGGATTCTTTAGACGGACAACGCTTGTGAACATTGCGGTACAGACGTCGATGACACAGCTCACGAACTGCGGACGAAGGTGAAGCTTTTCCCTGCTAACGCCACCGACAAAGTCCAGCCCGCAGACCGCTTCCCGATTCAGCGTATCAAGGACCATTGGCGTCGCCTTGCCGAGCGACGGAATACGGAAGTTATTCGGAATGGTGATTGGAAGACCGGCAATTCATCATCAGGAAAGCTTGCAAACCCTGGAAAGAAGTTCTTTTTTGAACTGGCAGCTGGGTGCATCCGCCTCGTCAACTTAGAGAAAGACAAAAACGGAGAAAATTGGGCAAATAAGTCCATGGCTCAGTGCGGCCTGGATCTTCCTCGTGACGGTGTCTGGAAAGTCGAGCAGCTCAGTAGAGAGCTTCAAGAGATTATAGCGATGTATCCTGACGCTTTTACGACGGATACAAGGAAGCTGCCAGGTCTGCAAATAAATAGTGGTACATTGTTTGTATTCATAATGCATAAATATATTTTTCTACTTTTTCCAAAAGGACTTACATGGCAGTTGCAGACCCCTAAGGGATCCTTCTGTGTTATCGCTGCCCGCGGACTCGAACCCGCGATATTGCGCGTGGAACGACGCGGCTAAACCTCTCCACCAATGCCGTCGTTTATTACGAAAGTGCAAAAATGTCGCTCGTGACCTTTCTTGGAATAAACCGGTAATAGTCGTGCACATATTTAGTCGTACACCAAAATTGATCATGAGCAATTCTAAGCATTTTGGGGATGCGCGGTAAATAGTCGTGCCACGACTAATTAGGGTGAACGGTGTACAGCCAATCACAGAGCATCCGTGTACTCCTTTGAAAGTCCTACGCAGCTATCACTAAACTCAAAAACATCGAATGGTCAGCGTTCGACCTGCCATTCTGCAAAGTCGTCTCTATCAAGGAGCTAAAGATGATCTACTCGCTAGACATGAGGTGGAGGGGCATTGTCCTTATGTACATTTACGCAGTTGACACTGCTACTGTAGCTAGCGTTTTAGGATTGTCTGTACGAAGCCTGAGTAGATGGTACCAGCGCTTCCGCGCAACTGGAAACGTTTTGAAAAACCAGCCACGCGCGAGAACATCACGGTGGCCAAAGAAAGTTTGCGACTTCGTAAAACGATATGTTTCAAGTCAACCATGCTTTTATTTTGAAGAGCTGCGGGTTGAACTAAGATCTTTCTACAAGAACACGCTAAATCTATCTATCTGCCGAGCGCTACGCTTCGATCTGAACCTGACAAGGAAAGAGCTGACGAAGCGGGCGCGCGAAAGCGTTTCTAAAGAGCGCCAGGAGTATGTGTCCCGGTTAATGCCTTTTTACAGATGGCCTGATCAGCTAGTTTTTGTGGATGAAACCATTAAAGATGGACGGTAAGTGCTTTTGTCTAATAATTTTCTACAATGGTTAGTAGCAACTAACTTTTCTATAGATCTGCTCTACGGCGCTACGGATGGTCCGCGAGGAACACGCAGTGTACGGTTTCCAATTCATTCAGTCGTGGCAAGCGTGTTTCCATCCTGGTTGCAATGGACGTTGACGGCTTTTTCGGGTGGGGAGACGTTGATGGAACTTTCACCCGCCTTACCTTCCACCACGTCTTCAAGAAAAAGGCGCTTCCGTTTTTAAATCCTTGGCCACTCCCACGATCGATTGTGGTAATGGACAACGCCAAGATTCTTATGTACAAGGAATTACAAGAACTCATTCACGCCACGGGGGCTCTGCTATTTCTTACCACCGTACTCTCCATATCTAACTCTTATTGAGGTGGGCTATTCGCTTCTCAAACGATGGATTCAACGCCACGCTAACATGGCGTTCCGAGAACACCTATTGGCGGTGTTGAAAGTAGCAATGTACAAGTGCACAATGCAACAAGAAGATGTAGGCGAAAACCTATACAGTCATTGTGGTTACAAGTCACACGAGTTAGTGATAGGCAATAATTAATACCTAAGTTGAATACAGCTTACCGTTATTTGATCACTCTTGATCCACGCCTTGCATTTCCTCATCCATATGGTCATCGTCCTCGACATTGTTGATTGGGTCAGGCATGCCAATATTTGGCGGACGTAGACGAACAGCTCCAACTCAAATCCAGCGTGCCCGTTGTGTCTTCGCCTCGCCCGGTGCCAAAATTATTCGACTTGGGCTCTCATGGCTACAGCTTCTTGACAAACAACCTCGAATTGCTTCTGCTTGGCATGGTTGCTGGGCTTAACGTATATGTCGCACTCCGATCGCCTCTGGCCTGGTAGCTTGCTTGCGAATAGCTCTTCCACCTTTGCCCTCAAAACACGGTATCCATCTGCAACAGCGAACAAAAAAGGAGGAGAAGGAGGAACTTTGTCTCGGCACGGTTCAAATAGAAATCCATTCTTAATGCTCGAACGGCAGCTTAGTGTATCTGGTAGCGGTAGTAGCTCAGCCATCGCAAGCGTACTGCTCTCTCAGCAACTTCGTATCTCTGCAAGTGGCATACGCATCGACAGCGTCAGATATTTAATTAATCCCTCCACCTCACGCATACTCTCCCTTACCTCCTCTGCCCGCACTTCTTCACGTCCTCATCTGCTGTTCTTCAGCAACTGCCACTCGTCTTTCACCGTGGGTCTTCTCTTTCGCCCTGCTGCTGCAAGTGTCAGCTTAGCTTCCCCAACACACCTGAGTACAGCAACAGAAACCCACCAGGAGGAGATGAACGTATACCACAGTTCGGCGAGCGCTCAACCGCCGAAAGCGACGCAAGTACTGCTACTTGGCGCGAGTTGACGCGTCGGGGGTGTGGCGGGGCGTGTCAGGGGCGCGGCTGTAGGTGGTGGCGGGCGTGGCGGGCGTGCCGCAGAAGCACAGCCTGCGCGGCTCGACTCTCTTGGCTGCCAAAGCTTGAATAGCTGTGCCAACTATTTCAGGTAAATTTTACTGTGCACATCTAAGGATAAGGAAGTCTCTTTTAGGCGCACAACCCTTACGTAAGTCCCGGAGTGGTTACCGCAACCTTAACTGTGAGACATGTAAGGTTGCCTTTGTAGCTTATGGTTGCTTTAGACGAATTTAAAAATTTCCGCTGAAAATTTCAGTTTCTATACTTTCAAAAACTCGTAAGTTCGTTTCGTTTGTATAAGTACGCAATTACAGAAAAAGTCATTTTAAGTACGCTTCATTCATAGCCTCCCATTTCGAAAGCGCACGCAGAGTGGCGCAGCGGGAGAAGGACGGAGGAAGTTCACGACGGCTTCAGGGACTCTCCAGTCACCCACGAGAAACGCGACATCAGGCGTCATGTCCGGTACGCCTTTTAATAACAGAAGAAAGAAGCTATACTACGCTATATAGTAAAATGGATCTGTTTGTATGTCGAAGGGCGACGTTTGCGTAGCAAGTCAACTAACAGCTCACGACCACACTACGCTCAACTTACACTGAGCATAGAGAAGGACCATTCCAGCGATGAGGATTACAAACCTGATGATGAAGATATCGATGTCGACGTTCAGAGCACAGAACGGGGTAAGCTGTGCAAGTTGACCTTAAATTATTGCTACTTATCATAATTATATGTATATATATATGTGACATACTAACAGGTGTGAAGTGTGGAGAGAATACTGGACATAAGGATGAAGATGTATCTGGAGAGGAGAACAAACTGGTAGAAGTGAACAAAAAGGAGGAAGAGGAAAATAAGGGTGCGTTCATTGGATCTATTCTGTCGTCAATGGTAATGATATATCGGTCGTCAGTGGTAATGATATATCTAAATATTGTCATAAAAAATGTATTGTACGCATCTTTGCAGGTAGCACCCCCCCAAAAAAACCCACAGGTAAAAAAGTCACGTGCCTCCCAGGATAATACAGCTTCGCTCCATTATTGCGAAGTGTCGACAAGCAAAATATGGCATAGCGAGGCGACGTGAGGATACCGCCAGAAAACGATAGCAATCATCTGCGAGCTGCTCTAGTCGAGCAGGCCGAGATGAAAACTCTTGCTCCTTTCCAAATGACACAGACTGGGGTGAATTTGACACTTTACTAGCGTCCTACACAAAAGCAAACAACCTGCACTTTCGAGTTCGCAGTTCCGAGTCGACTGAAACGTATAACCGGTATGTATTATGTTTATTTATGCTATGTAATTTATCTAATGGTCGCCTAACCTTAATTTGTAGGAGTCACACAGACGAGATATTTTTAACTTTCCGCTAGCACCATAGGGTTTTTCGGTGCACTCATGGCGTTTCTCAGCATTCTCGATCTACTGGGCAGCGCACACGCAAACCACGGATCTGTGGGTGCTTGGCGCGCTTCACACCCACCGTGATGCTTATGGATGACGGAACATTTCAAATTGTCATCCAAAATAAGGTGCGTTGCTCTATATAGTTTCGTTTTATACTATACTTAAAACAACTGACAATCTGCCTTTCTTGCAGAATCATACACACTCCCATGTAGCTACTCGTGTTGAAGCTGCTTTGTATTTGACAAGTAAAACGATTCCAATTGACGAGCAAGACCTTGAGGATGTGATCACCCTTGCGGACGCCCGAGCGTCTTCCAAGCAAATTTCGAATTATCTGAACGACCGTATTGGTAAGAATCCATAATTTTTAAGGTCTATTTCCTGGCATAATATCAATTAAAATTATTTTTCCGCATATAGGATGTAGAATCACCCCTCAGCAAACTCGCAACCTCTTGCGCAATATTATTGGGCGGGATTCAGCGGAGGATCGTTTGAAAAACATGCTTCACGCGTTGAACCAGCTAGACGGAAGTGACGTACTTGTCATCCAAGACGAGATGGATGTCACATGCGGAATAGTGATGCAAACGAAGCTACAGAAGCGAATATTCGAGTTATGGGGCGAGACACTTGCGATGGATTTCACACACGGCACCAATAATCTGGGCTATCACTTGGGTACGTAGTTTTACAGCGACCTTTGGGCAACCCTACAGCAACACCAGTAGGGCAACTCTGGAGCAGCTTCAGTTTCTAACGAGAAACATCGCTTTGTGTGTACAGGCAGCCTTGTGGTCACTACTGCTACTGGTAGGGGGTTTCCAGTTTTTGACTTCGTCTGTCTAAATGAACCGGCCGTGACCATTTCAACGATCCTAAAATATTTTAAGGATAAAAATCCAGGGTGGAGGGATATTACATCAGTTGTGATCGACAAGGATTTTGTGGAATGGCGTGTACTCAAAGATACATTTCCAGACGCAAAAATTTTGCTGTGCCAGTTTCACGCAATAACATATTGGAAGAAGGTGATGCGGAGATCTAGTTTTCGGTTGACGGTATCTCAACGAGATAACCTCATTATGCTGATGTGTAGACTGTTGTATAGGTACGCCACATACTGCTTTTTATATATAACCATCTGACTTACTTGTATGCTCATAGCAATACGAAGACTGATTACGACTCGCGATACGAGGCGTTGAAGCGGTACTGTGACGTCAATAAAGGCATAACCATTTTCGCCTATTTCGAGAAGAACTGGCACTCGTGCCGAGATATGTGGTCCAACTTTTCTCGTGGCAAATTTTTTACAGCCGGCAATACTACTACAAACCGTGTGGAATCGAATTGGATTCAAGTAAAAATGCTTCGGGGACACAAAACGCGGATCGACAAGACAATCGCGGGACTACTTCAGCATCAAGTCACTGTGGCGCATCAAATCATCCGTACTGTTGGGCAGCATTGCTCGTCCACACGCTTGCCGAAATCTGTCACCCCCTTTTTGAGAGGTGTTGCTACAAGACTTTCTTCTGGTATGTTACTGAAAGTGACAAGAGAGTGGGAGCGTTTCGTGACTCTCATGGCCAACGCCAAATGCGAACGAATTACGTCTAGTGTTTCGCGATGGAAAATTCACTGCTACAACGAAACACACAACTGTGACAGCGTAAAATGGACGTGCTCATGCCTATTTTACTCGAGTCATAATCTGCCTTGCCGGCATCTGATGCTGTTGGCCTCTACAGAGCATGAACTGGAGGCACTTCCCGCCGCTGCAGTTAAAGAGCGATGGAGTATGACGTCTGCGCTGGATATACAAGAGGAGTTAGCCTCCGCGGCAGCCTTGCTGGAGCCAATTGTGCAGATGTCCAAGCTAAAGTCGCCGAAACGGTCGCCGGAAGGGTTGCCGGAAGGGTTGCCGGAAGGGTTGCCCTATCAACACCAGAAGGGTGGTTCTTCTCCAGTCAAACAGGTGGTGTACGTTTGACTTCGTCGCAATGAACGCGCAAAACATACTTACGCTAAGGCTATGATGGAACCTCTCCTCGAGCATTTGTCGAACATGTCAAGTTCCGAGTTTTACCAAAAGCTAAGTGCGTGGAAAGACACAATCGACGAGGGACTGAAAGGCGGGACGACTAAGGTGAACACTGCCCATGACACTGAACACGCTACTGACTGGGAGAATGAGAGTGACGTATTCAGTGGGATCGATCCTACCGAAGCTATTGAGGCAATCGACATAATGAAGATGTTTGAAAGTGAAACCGAAGATCTCTCTGATAACAAGCACATTCCGGAGAATTTCGAAAGACGAGACGATACTGTACGTTCGGCTGAGGCAAGCGGTACTGTAGCGACCGGTGCTCCCGCACTGAATCGTAAGACAAAAGTGCAAGAGCGACAAGTGGACATTATCAGTGTGCCTAAACTAGTGCGACGAGGCAAAGGGAGAAGTTAATTGAAACAGTTGAAGCTTGCTTGAGGGGCCGATCGACTAGCAGTTCATACCTACCCGAGTCACTTAACAGTTTCACTTAAAGAACTGGTGGCGTGGGCTAGGTATACTTCAAATCTAAAGGAAGTTCTAGTGATGATGGAAAAATACCCCGTCCAGCTGGAGGATCCGTACCTGCGGTGTCGAACTATGGAGTGTCGTTGGGAAGTCGTGCGCCCACCTGATGTCATGTACAATTTTGTGATCCCTTCGGATCTTGCTCGGTCAATGCAAGCCGTGACGGTAACAACAGCGAAAAATGGTAACGCCCCTGACAAACTGGACAAGGAGCAGAAGAAGCAAGGATTTGTCAACGATGTCGTTGTCACTATTGATCCAAAGATCTGGAAATTCAGCGGGTGAGTCCACACCGACGTCACGGTTGCTTATAGGGTTGCTGTAACCCGTAAGGTTGCTGAATGGTCGCTGTATCAAATATGAATGCTGCAGGGTTGCTTTAATATGGTACACTAACGTTGTGTTTATTTTTTATGCAGTGAATACGTGGGTGCCTTGATGACATTCTACGATGTTAAGGCCAAGTGTAGATCTTGGATTGAAGACAGGAAATGGCTCGAACAAGACTGGAGACGCGTCGGGTCTGGATTGGAGCTTTTCGCTGTTGAAACGAAGACTGCAGGTCTATCAGATGCCGCTGCCCGGAGTCGGCACCAAGTTCTAGCCAATGAGGCTATTTCAAAGTTTACATCAAGTAAATTGCGCACTCAATTTGTGACAAGGTCCAGTTCAGTTTTTGTTGGCTTCGAAAACATTGTGGGAAATCCCTGTCGAGGCTGGTTGAACGACAGTGCACTTGATTTTTGTCTGGAAGCTATTGTCGAATCAAACGGACAGTCACTATTGCTGTCGACCCTAGTGGTGGATTTTGGTTGTACCAAAATACCCAAGACATCTATCCAAGATACAAGGTTCATTGTCCATCCAGTGAATTTAATGCAAGTCACTGGGGTCTGATTGTGGTCCTAATCGACCATGACGATGCAGACAACAGAACACGTGTACGACCAATGATGTATGAGCCTCTTATCGACGAAGAATATCGTGGTGAAGTTGTTGAGGTATGGCAAGGAACTACGATGAATAACGAGCGGAAAGAAGGCCTTGTCGACTTTGTGGGGCGGTGGCATGCCTACTCTGCATTGGGATTTAAACTAACGATAGAACCGGAATTGTGGATTGAAACACCACAACAGCCTGACCACGTAAGCTGCGGAGTACTAGTCGTTGCGCAAGCGTATAGCTACCTAACGGGGAGTATGCAGCTTCAGCAGAACCAAGTATCCAAAGAAGACGTCAGTATAATGCGCCTAAAATGCTGTGGATGATGATATGTCATTCGCACGAACGCTCGTCATCCGAGTACGAACTAAATAGGGTGAACCATGTCCAGCAGCAGTTACAGGATCAACTTTGATAAAGTAGGCCAAGCTGATAGCACTTCAACACGATTTTGGCAGGTCTTGATATCTTCTTATCATTATTCAGCTTGTTCATTACAAGCTCCAGCAGCACTCTTGATACCTACTTATCATTACTCAGCTTGTTCACCAGGAGCTCCAGCAACATTCCAAACGATAGCGTCTCCATGCGAGATAGGGTCACGTTTTCATCTTTAACAGTCTTAGATAATTCGTACCCGTGGTCCTCCCTCTCTTCGATAAGGGCTTGGACCTCTAGTTGAGCCTTCATGATCATCTCCAGACCCGTGCTGATTTGCTCCAACTTCTCCTTCAATGCCGCAAGCTCCTCAAGACGTGCGCTTACCAACTGCCGCGCCAGTGCTGCCTCCTTCATAGCAAATCTGCGCTAGATGTCAGAAAGAAATGGAGCTCATGCGAACTTAGCTCATATATCTAAATTTAGACAATTAAACGGATAGTTGTAATTTTGTGGTCCACAGGTAACTGACGACATGTAATTTATAATAAATTTCGTTTTGCTAAGGTTGCTTCTGGTTTGGCCAGGTTGCTGGAAGTGTTGCTTTAGTGACAAGGTTGCTATATATTTCGTCGTCAGATTGTAAATGGGGAAACTTATGGTTGCGGTAACGCCATTCCGTAAGTCCTCTGTAGCAGTGGCAAAAGGTCAGAAAGGCACAATAGTAGTACGTTCAGCCCAATAGGGATTAATTCGAGATTATGTGCCCACACCAATAGTAGGTATCGATTTGATACAAATTTCAAATGAGACGATTTTATTTTTCTACCAATTTGTATAAACGTCACAGGTTTCACTCCAAGTAAAGGTTTGGCATGGGTATAAATGTATAGAACCTTGGTGTACGAAAGAAAATAATGCTTACTTTACAAATGATTGGAGATGTTTTTTTTAGAAATTTTTTTTTTAGTTTTTCTTACGGCTAGGTGTTGTGCTAGAATATCACTATTATCGTATTTGTAGATCTTAATAACTATAAAGAGGTCTGTAAACAAAGCTGTCGAGGCCCGCAGCGGCATTATCCGTCCACCTCTAGCTCTTGTTCGGTAGAAGCTGCAGTGGTTTCAATGCCTTGCTGCTGCCACTTGACGCAGCATCGAGACGCTGAGGATCCTGGACATGGTGATTTTGGAGCTCTCGGTATTTTTCGCGAAGTGATAAGTCCGCTCGTATGTGTCGTTAGGCCGTATCGGGCCAGCCGCCGCGGGCGCCACTAGTGGTGGGACTCGGCCGGCTCAAAACTTCCCCGAGCAGAGCGGAGATAAGTAAATAAGTGGACGATAAGTAGACGAGCAGAAGATTAGAGTATCATGTAGGTAGAGTGAAGATAACCGCAGCAGCTCACTCAACGCCGCAGCGACGAAATATAGTGCCCTCGGGCGGTGGTCGCCGCAGCTGGTGAGCTCGCTGAGAAATTGTGGTTGTGAGCTTCTGAAAGAAACAATCTTTCCGGTGATCGAAAAATGATAACCTCACTCAAATCGTATTGCCTTCTTAACAGATTTACACATTCTGGATGTGCTGGAGTTTAGTGTGGTAATGTATCTTATCTGTATGTGATTGTAAGAGCAGGTACGGTAAAAATCAACCGATTTACAAGTGATCGAGTCTAGTTTTAAAAATAAGGTGTTCAAATCGGCAAAATGTAAAGCAGCAAGAAGAAAAAAAAACACTCAGGACAACGAATCCCTCCCGGCTGATTGGAAATTACTACGAATTTGTAAGGTTTTATTAAAAGTATTGCGTTTAAGAGAACAAAAGACCCCGCTGATGGTAAGGGAGTTGGTGCGAAGCCTTTGGTTTTCCAGGGCTACTAGCGCTGCGCAGCAGCACTACCAGCCCAACCCTCTACACCTTTGCCAACCTAAACCGGCGAGATTGTAAAGCAAAATGGACTGAAGTAACTAAAGTAACAAACAAATTTTGGAATTATATTTGAAAAAGCGACTCTAGAGCAAAACAAATTTAGTGTAACACTAACCACTGGCTTCGAGCCAGTACCAGCGCCACACGGGCTTGCCGCCCGAGCGCGGGTGCTACAGTAGACGCTTACACGAGTGGACGAGACTGGGCCCTAGTGGCGGACTGTAACGGCATTCCAGCCACTACAGTTACATGTACAGCCCGCAAGATTGTCGAGCGTGGGACACCGGACGTCAAGACCAGAGGTGGTGCGTGCACAGCGTGCACTACAGTAAGTGCACGCCTGAGATGGAGGAGGCGCTACATGTACAGTGTAGTGGAGTACGTCGAGGAAAACGGCTTTTATACACTTGCGCAGACGCAAGAGATGCTGTGGTTTGACTTCGCAGCTCACGTCGTCTCTATCAGCAAGAAACTATGTGATAAATTGTAAGCAGTCAAGCAGTAAATATTTGATTTACACTAAATCTGCATTGCTCTACACTGAATATTCCCAAAACAATGTTTTTTTAAAAAATGATTTTTTTTGGGGTCATACCTCTTTGCGTTACAATCTCGCCGGTTTGGATTGGCAAAGGTGTAGTAAAAAAATGAAACGGTTTTAGATTCTCAAACTTGGCGGTCGAACCAATAATACTATAGTTCTGGGGTGGCACGAGAAATTTTCCCGCCCTTCTTCAAAACTAATTGAATTACTAATCAAATAATTTAACTAGAACCAATATCCCCAAGTTGATCGATTGTACGCTACACGTATTCTACGGACTCAGACACAAACTATTTTTAAAACTTTCCAGCTCAGCTCTCAAAGAAAGTTTAATGATGCGCAACAGTACATGGATGTGTATGATACTGCATTCCAACGGGCATATATAATAAACCAACCTGTTTCTTTTCCTGGCCTGCATGACTTTATGTTGCACTTGACAAAGTGCGCGATTACCAATTCCAAGCCATTCACAATGCCAATAGCTACTCCACTTTTCTTTCGACTCTCTCGATTCCACCCATGCAAGTTCTATTATGGTGCTTACTGATCGGTTTGTCCTTCCTCTTTTCACTTGGGGATGCGTCTTTGGTGGCCAGCAGAGGTCGCAAACGTCATTTTTTGGCTAACTGTACCCGTCTGAAAGCCGAGTTTCGGATGACCATGACTAACCGTTCGGACTGTTCGGACAATATAGGTCTTTAGAGGAACCTACAATGCTTAGTTAGGGTTAGCTAGGGGTGTCTTCCAGATGTTGGTCCCTATCTGATGAGTTTTGTCAGACCTAATTTGTTGAATAATTTTGCTGATTGCTCTCTCAATATAGCTACCTGTGAAATACAACGTTGGGAAGGTCATATTGGTCGTTTCGACGCAGGAAGAGGCCGGCATAGTGTAGAGCAAGAGTAGGCAGGTGACTGTAATATCGCAGGGCGCTTTAAGTGTGCATGTACATGTACATGTCCACGAAGCTGCGGTGCTCTATCGACACTAAGGAATAGCAGTGCATAAAGTCCTGATTACGACATCTGCTGAACTGTAATTGCTCCTTACCAGCCATAAAAGTCCTCGGCAATTGTAAAATTTGGCCATATTCACCCCGCCGTTCACTCCGTCGTCCAGCACCCCACTTGTCCTCAGTCGTCGCAGCCTAGCAATGTTTATCATGATGGCTACCGTTGTCCAACAGGACGAGAATGGATATCACTAATAACTGATCCTGTCTGTGTTTTGTCCTTGATTCTTGGACAGAAAAAACACACACACAGCGTAATCTGAGTTCAATATGTGTCTCATGGTATAGATATTACCTAAGGGAAATGGTCAATTTAGTAGCCACTTTAAACAGCTTGCACACTTTGGTCGATATTTCAAGAGGAATAGTCCAATTGAAACGCTACTTGCGCCATCGAAAACAGCAGACACACAGCTAGTTTTGTGATTTTTTACTGCTTAAATGCAGTAGTTTTGCTGCGTTTGTGGTTGGGCGCTACATTTGACGTACTTGTCCGTTTAGTAGCCACATTTGACTTAATTTCATTAGCTGAAAACTGCAAGAAGGCAAAGGGTTAGGGGAAGCAAATCCTGCCTCAAGTTATACTTTCATCATTTCAGTATTATAAGCAGTTTATAAACTGCCACAGCCTACACCCATGTCTCTACCGTCGCTAGCACCTGGTCAGCTCTCTTCTTCCTGGACGATACTGGTTTACTCGCCTTGATACGTTACTTGACGCGTCTTCTTCAAGAAGCGATCACCTGCTTGTGCTCCCTCGTAGTGCTAATAGCGGTTTCGTCAACATTACAAACTCGTGCTGCGCCAATTTTGTGCTTTTTCATGACCTTAGCTAGGGACGAGAACAACACTGCAAGATCGCGTTCTTCCACTTCGTTACGGCATTTAGAGACGGGCTGTGACGTCTTTAATGTGAGGGACGAGTGACGCTCCAGGAAGCGGCTCAGCCAGCCTTCCTCCATCAACAAGCCGCACACCAGCTGAGCATTCTGCTGCGCCTTCTCAAGAAGGTCGTGGCGGCTTACAGGGTGCCCGACCTGCTGCCTCCCAAGCACCCAGTCTTGGAGGCTTTCTTCTGCATCATCTGGTAGCATAGAATACCGACCGCGGCGGTTGGGCTTGCGAGGAATCCCTTTCGGAGCTAGAGCGACGTAATTCTTAAGTGTGCTGTGGGGATCTCTTGTGTTCGTCGCTCGTTGTCTTCGTAGTGGTCCCCGAAAGCACCTCTTAAACGGCAGCGTCAGGTTCTGCGTCAGACCTAAATGCGCGGAGCCTTCCCATTGAGCCAGGGCTTGAAAATGGGCGGGAAATATCCAGATATAAAGTGCTTCAGGTTCTTACTAATGGTCAATTTAGTAGATTTTCCCAGTTTAGTAGCCGACCTATTTTCAGCCAATACCGTCAATGGACCCATACGGTTACTGATTTGATACGCTAAAACTACAATTGCTTCGTCTAAGTACAAACCTGAAGCACTTTATATCTGGATATTTCCCGCCCATTTCCAAGCCCTGCTGAATAAAAAGGCTTCACGCACCTTATTCTGACGCAGAACTTGACGCCGCCGTTCAAGAGGTGCTTTCGGGATTCACTACGAAGACAACGAGCGACAAACACAAGAGATCCCCATAGCACGCTTAAGAAGTACGTCGCTCTAGGTCGGCAAGGGATTCCTTGCAGGCCCTACCGCCGCGGTCCGCATCCCATGCAACCAGAAGACGCAGAAGAAAGTCTCCAAGACTGGGTGCTTGGGAGGCAGCAGGTCGGGCACCCTGTAAGCCGCCACGACCTTCTTGAGAAGGCGCAGCAGAATGCTCAGCTGGTGTGCGGCTTGTTGATGGAGGAAGGCTGGCTGAGCCGCTTCCTGGAGCGTCACTCGTCCCTCACATTAAGGACGTCACAGCCCGTCTCTAAATGCCGTAACGAAGTGGAAGAACGCGATTTTGCAGTGTTGTTCTCGTCCCTAGCTAAGGTCATGAAAAAGCGCAACATTGGCGCAGCATGATTTTTTAATGTTGACGAAACTGCTATTAGCACTACGAGGGAGCACAAGCAAGTGATCGCTGCTAAAGGATCTAAACATATGTGGCACAAGGACGTCAAGACAAGCTTCCATCTGAGTTTTGTTGCATGTGGAAGCGCGAATGGATAGGTCGTTCCTCCTCTTTTCTTCTTTCCTAGAAAGAGTGTAGACGACGACATATTTGAAATGTGTCAAATCCAGGGCGCGGGGGTAACGACAACTGAAAAAGCATTCATGACGACTTCTCTATTCAAGGGAAGGCTACAATTCTTTTCAGACGCTATTCCTACTCCAATAAGACGACCGTTACTGCTCGCTGCTCCTCGCACATATCACTGGCAATTGTCGGCGCAGCAGAACGATTGGGTATTATACTCGTCTGTTTGCCGCCAAATGGAGCACATCTCCTCCAGCCCATGGACGTGGCAGTTTTCTCCCCTTTTAAGACGAGTCTGAAGATTTTTTTTGATAAACTGCTACTAAGTATTGGGTCTGGAACTGTCGACAAGCATACTGCGAGCTAGGAGTGGCTGCATTGGCGTGGAATTACGCCTGCTTAGAATGCAATATCGCTGCTGGGTTCAGGAGCTGTGGGATATTTCCACTTTCGCGCGTCAATATGCATGCAAAGCTGGCCAGCTTTGAGCGCAACGAACTACCACAATCGCAGCGTGAAAATGCGTGGGTACAAGTATCCGATGTAGTGCGACGAGAGATCCTCATTGCTCCTGCTCCATCACCTAAAACAAACAAAAGGAAGCGTACGAGTACAGGTGGCAGAATTCTGACACGCCAGCTTCGTGAAGAAGAAGAAGAAGCATCAAAAAGACGTACCAAGGCGAGGAAACCAGTATCGTCCAGGAAGAAGAGAGCTGACCAGGCGCAGCGACGGAGATTGAACCTGTGGTAGAGGCATGGGTTTAGGCTATAGCAGTTTATAAACTGATTATAATAATGAAACGGTTAAAATACGACATAAGACAGGATTTCCTTTCCCTAAACCCTTAGCCTTTTTGGATCGATCAGACGAATCGATCAGTTTAATGAAATTAAGTCAAATGTGGCTACTAAGCTGACAAGTACGTCAAATGTAGCGCCCAACTTGCAAGTCCTATAAACGCAACCAAACTACAGCATTTAATCAGTAAAAATTACAAATTTAGCTGTGTGTCTGCTCGTTTTTATGGCGCAAGTAACGTTTCAATTGGACTATTCCTCTTGAAATTATCGACCAAAGTGTAAAAGCTGCTCAAAGCGGCTACTAAATTGACCATTTCCCTTACAGTGAACCGTTGGAGATGCTTTAAAACGTTTTTCGCAATAAAATTCAGTACCTAGGTGTGAATAAATCCTTCTGGGCATCCGAAATAGCCTATCTTGCATAGTCAACAACCCTTTACATGTTTATCCCCTGTCCCCTCTTGGTCGGACAAACGAAAGAACAAAATGACATTTACCTTGATTTCACTAAAGTGTACCACAAAATTTGTCCTAGAGGTTCGATATAACCAAAACTGTGTACCGTGGCCTCTGGCGACGGTCCAGCAGAGTCGGTACGCTAAGAGACATTTGCGCGCGCCGCGCGCACCGCAGCTTTAAGCAAAGTCGTACCTATCACACACTTACTTGATCGCCAGAAAGCAATTACAGTGTTTTCATAGACAACGGAGCAAAGTCGCAAAAGCAAAGTAATACGTTTTAATTGGCACCAATAATGCTTACCGTTAAAGGAATATGCAGCACCAGTCGAGAAAGACCGACTGACTAATCTGCGCACGTTGCATCTGAGTTCCATCCAACTTCTGATCGACATCCCGCAGCGCCGGCTGAAGGATCTGGATTTATCCAAGACTGCGACAGGTCTATAACGAATTAAACGCTGTAGTGGTTTGCTTTATATACTGACTTAACGAGACGTTAGGAACATTAAATGCTTTGCTGCTGGAATACCGTTAATCCCGTGCATTCATCAAATTATTTCATCGTTCTTTGCCTAAGACCTCCACAGCGCAGGGCTCAAAAAAATTAAATTGTACTGGTTCCGATCCTGGAAAACACAATACTAATAATAAATATTTATGGTTGCACGATGATGCTGGATGGCAACTGGCTCCGCAACTTTCAATATCCGAGTTATGTTGATTGATGACATTGAAAAAATGCTGAAAAAATAGGTGGTGCGCAACTTTGCTTAGCTGGAGTATTGAGGGTTTTAGCTCAAAACCTGGATTGCTCGATTCGCTAATCGCAACGGTCAATTTTCCCAGGTAATCGCTCAAACTATTGTAATTCGTAAGGAAACAGTCAATATCGAAGTGTTCCATTGCGCACAGAACACTGCAGCTGCTAGCGACGGCAAAGCATGAAGGATCAAGCTCGTGTGTCACCTCAGACGATGAGAACGTCATCATTGCAAGGAAGCACATCATCTTGCGCAGGTCGTACGAGGGTGTCACCACGCTCAGCGCGTATTTCCCCATATCCTGAAGTGTCAGAACGCCAGCATGGACTGACTCGCCTTCGCCTTGAACGGCTTGTCTGCCCCGAATGTGTACACCTCCTGCTTCCCGATCGATGCTGCCTGGGTCCCCATCAATTGCACGCTCCTCACCCAGTTCGACATCGGCTTAAGCTCGACGTTCTCTGGTACCTGCTACAGCAGGATGT